GACATAGACATAGACATAGACATAGACATAGACATAGACATAGACATAGACATAGACATAGACATAGACATAGACATAGACATAGACATAGACATAGACATTATCTAGGTTTGCTCTCCTCCTATGCTGCAATAATGAACACTAGTCATCCTAAGCTCTTCAGTCCTGGAGTATACCCTGGAGAACTAGGATTCCCTGAACCCAGAGTTCCAGTTCTCTACAGGGGCTCCAACCCCCCTCCACCCTTCCTTGCAAATATTTCAAAGGAACGCAGCAATGGCCCAGCAGTAAAGGTGGAACCGGTTATGCAGGTATTAATATGATTGCGAATTTTTACGGTTTTCACCCTATCGTTGATATAGAAAAATAACTGTTTTTAACCACCAAGATTCAGGGGTCCGTATAATTCCAATTCTGATTCCAAATGGAAGGGGGGGTGAAAGTACATTTTGGGGCATGAAAATACACTTTCTCTGCCATTGTAAACTTAAGCAAGTTTTTTGAGTACGTCATAGATAATATGATATACAGAAAAATAAACACTCCCTTGCAATACAATTTTGCAGTATGGAATTTTTTCCACAACTTTACATCATACTTCCAATTGTTTACAATTACAACATGGTTCATTTCTGCCCCTTATATTAATCAATCAACATTTGGGATCGTATTTGGATGGAATGATATGGACCCCTGCCAAAAGTGTGTTTGCTACTAAATCCTAAGACCTATTTTTAAACTTAAATCATAAGCAAAGCTAAAATCTACAAAACCAGTTTAATGAACTACTAATTCTGTCTTAAATCTACGAAACCTATTTTAAAATCAACTAAAGAAAACCGGCTTTTATAGCAACAAAATTCTTTCTAACATCCAGAAACCCCGTCATATATCAAACTTTAAAAATTAGCGAGAAGCCTGCTTAACGATTTCTTCAAACTGAGTTTAAGTTTTTGAACGCCCCAACAATTTAATACATAAAACCATGGAATTCTAAACCAACTTATTATTAACACTACTGTTTTTCTTTTAGCTTAGTAACCCTGTGTTTAAAAGTTAATTATTTTTGTAGAATTATTCAGAATATTTATTTCTCTTTTTTTGTTTTTTATGTTGATCTAAAGTAAACAAATAAATCTAAGTATAAAAATAAGATTTTTTTTGTTTCAGGGCAAAAACAAAACGTATCCATGTCCTGAATGTGGAAAAATTTTCAACGCACATTATAATTTGACAAGACATATGCCAGTACATACAGGTAAACAATAATATGCAGTACATATATTAGATAAATATTGAAACCAGACATATGCCAGTACATACAAGTAAACAACAACATGCAGTACATGAAGGTAAACATTTTACACTTATACATACTTTTTTAGGTGGAACTGTACTCGTTTTATTGGTGAATTGATTTATATAAATACTTGTTTTAGACGTACTTTTACATGCTTTTGTTGTTCATATAGGACAAAATATTTGAATATATTTCAGGAGCTAGACCGTTTGTTTGTAAAGTGTGTGGTAAAGGATTCCGTCAAGCCTCCACACTTTGTAGGCATAAGATCATTCACACAAATGAGAAACCACATAAGTGCAATATTTGTGGCAAAGCATTTAACAGGTACAGAGATAATCTATTGCTAAAAAGGAGGAAAACTTTTAGTACATAAAATCAGATTACACATTTTACAGTTGTTAAGGTTTAGAAATAACTAAACGAATTCTTTTTTTTTTTTAATTTGTTTCGCTCATATAAGGGAATCAATCCAACCTGAGTTTTTGTTATTACGAAACAGAAATGAAATTACATTAGCTATAATCGTGTTTTTTTTTAAATTTGTTTCGCAAATGAGGTAAAAGTGAACCCCCTTTTTGTGGTGTTAGGGAATTTTCCAAAGGCATTTTTCAATGGTCGACTTTCAAAGTGGCCATTTCCCAATATCGCAATTTCCCAAGCGGTAACTTCCCAAAAATTGAATTAGGCCTTCTGAGTCGCCACTGGTTGCAATTGTTGGGCCGAGCGCTGCGGCTAAAAGAGAGCAGTGGACATATTTGGGAAAATACCGCTTAGGAAATTTCACATTTAGAACGTTTCCACTTTGGGAAAGTACCTACAGGGTGTCCCACGAAACATGACAGTTGGTAAATAGTTTAGAATGTCTTCTTCCACAATTTGTTAAGCTGTTTAATACCAAAGACAATAATAAAAGTATCATAAAGGAGTCATATTACCATAAAACTAACTTCAAAGTAAAATATATTTGAGCAAAATATTTTTTAAACGAAATAAACTGCAAACAGCCTTTAATTTCTAATGCAGTGTATGGAAGACGACATTCAAGACTATTTACCAACTGTCATGTTTCGTGGGACACCCTGTACCATCTTTTTGTTAAAGCATGTATTAAATTTTCATTAATTTTCATTTTCTTGTGACAAATGTGATAAACTGAATGTTTAGAAGTTCTACGCTGAATACACACATGAGAATACACAATGGATATAAACCGTTTGTCTGTGAGTTCTGTGGAAAGGGGTTTCATCAGAAAGGAAACTACAAAAATCACCGGTAAATCAATTTAAAGAGATTGTGCTGTAAACGCAATGGGGCCACTACAACTAAACCTAAAACTGTGGAATAGGAAAAGGCCAACCTTGTGTGTGTTGTTTAAAACCAACTTGTTTTACCATTTGTCTGAAAACTAATTTTTCAACTGGGTTGGGGAAATTGCCGTTTTTCTTAATATTTCAAATCAAAACCTTTCTCCAACATTCCTCTTACTTTTCTATAGAGTTTTTGGGTAGCAATGTAGTAAACAAAACTTAGATACAGGGTGTCCCAAGAAACATGACAGTTGGTTAATAGTTTAAAATGTCTTCTTCTATAATTTAATAAGTTGTTTGATACTAAAGAGAATGATAAAAATATTATATGGCAATTATATTATAGCAAAATTGATTTCAAAGTAAAATGAATTAGGAACAGATGTTTTTTTAACGAAATAAGCTGCAAAATGTCTTTAGTATTCAATAAAATATATGGAAGAAGACATTCAAAACTATTCTCTAACTGTCATGTTTCGTGGGAGACTCTGTATTATGAATCTTATAATAGTTAAAAAACCGCACGCCATTGAAAAAAAGGTTATCTAATTCATATCTGATTAGACAACACTTTAACGGGTACCGTTGTGAATCAAGCATTGTCCTCTTTGTATTGAGAGTCACTTGAAATTACGCTTACAGTCCCTTTAACTTATAATTTGTTTTCTTCAGATTGACACATTCCGGAGAGAAAGCGTACAAGTGCAATATTTGTAACAAGGCCTTTCATCAAGTAATTAAATTACACTGTACGCATTACACCTTAAACAGTCACATTACGGAGTAAAGAATACCTTCCGTACATAATGCAGAATTATACAAATTCAGTACAGTACAGTACAATACAGTACAGGAATAATACAGGCCATGAATCAGAATATAGCACAATTCTTAGATACAATAAACGAATACAGTATATGAAACTGAACAAACATACAGTACAAGAATACAGTACATGATACATCAATATAGTACATAAAAACAGTACATGAATAAAGTACATAAATACAGTACATGATACAGTACACGAGTAAAGTACATGTATACAGGGCATTCATACAGGGCATAAATACAGTACATGAATAAAATACATGGATTCAGTACATGATTACAGTACATGAATATAAGTACAGTACATGAATACAGTATATGAATACAGTACATGAATACAGTACATGAATACAGTACATAAATACGGTAAATGAATACAGAACATGAATGCAGAACATGAATACAGTACATTAATACCGTACATGAATACAGTACATGAATACAGTACATGAAACTATTTCAGCTGTACAATCTGACCTTTCACATGCACACGCATACAGAAGCCAAACCATACTCCTGTAATCTCTGTAAAAAGGGATTTTGTCGGAGCTTCGACCTGAAGAAGCACAGCAGGAGGCTCCACGAGTCAGCTCCGGAGGACGGGACAGCAGAGGATGGGAGGACAGAGGAGGAGGAGGAGAGGAGGAGGGACGGAGGGATGAATACAGTTCGACAGTTCCAGGAGGAATTCGAGCAGAGACGGAGGGAGGGGTTTAGGAGGGATTTTCCACAGGAGGGAGGAGAGGAGGGGAGGAGGGAGGGGGAGGAGGACGAAGGAATGGGGGATACAGGACCAGGAGGATTAGAATCTTCCTTTCCGTCCAATAGGACATTGTCAGATTCAGATAGTCCTCATCACAGTCCGGTAAGTATAAACATTTTATTTTCATATTTTTCGTTTCAACATTTTGTGTGTGTTAAAGTTTCATAAATTTTAGATAAAGTACAGAGTATATACAGGGTTAACAATAAAGTACAGAGTATATACATGGTTAACAATAAAGTATGAGACTTTAGAGATGACTGTATGATATTTATACTGTCTGTTTCCTAATTTATGTTAATGATTCCCTGCAGCTGTAAAATTGTTTTTTGAATATGCAAAATCATTATGTCGTTTAAAGACAATATTCAAGGTAGAAGTCTCAATTCAACCATGGGAATGTCCGCTATCATGGGTTTCCGGTCGTCTTCATTCTGTCATTCTTTGTGGGTAACTCTGTATAATTATATTAAAAAAATACCTAAAACTGGAATAAAATTTAGAATTGTATATTTAGATGTCGAGTCCAGCTGGTCTAGTTAGCTCAAGGTTTGAGCTCCGCCCTCCAACTAACAATCTCCTGCATCTGACCTCAGCCACGCCCCTTCTCCCTTTCCCCATGCTTCATTTCCCCCCCTTCCCTCTAGTATCCCGCCCACCTCCTCCCCCCTTCAGTCATACACTTTCTTAGTCAATCTAACTGTGTTAATACATGTTGCAATTTTATCTATAAATAAAATAGTATAATTACGCGCACTTGAACTTCTGAAGAGGAACTTAGAAACTGCGTAGATGTATTTTAAGATAACCGGCTCTATTTACAGAGTTACATATACGATTCACAGCTGTATCTTTAAACCTCGATGAATGAGACATCCTTCCTTTGCTCTCGTAAAATTGTTTATCTGTAAAAGTGGCTTTTTTAATTTGTGCTACAGAAACATCGTAGGAAGTTGTCAGAATTCGACACGTTTATAAAAAGATATTTTCCACATTTTTACTCAGATAAAGGTTTTAATCGTACCATTATTTATTGAACATGCAACTCTCTTAGTATAGACAGCGGTTAAACATTTTTAATCTTAATTTTCTTCACAAAATAGGAAATAGGAAATTTAAAACTCTTTTCATAGAAAAATAAGGATATGTTCATTTCAATTTGAGTTTTTAATCACAAAATGTAATCTTAATTTATTTCAATATCTTATACTTTAAAAGTTATCAAAGGTTGAAATACTTTTCTTTTTAGCAAAAAAAAAAATAAAATTATCTTTTAATAAAAAATAAAAGATATTAATCATCGAAATGTAAAAGTCAGAATTGACTACTAAAAAGTCAGTACATAGACCGAATTTAAAGAATTTGAGTCACGTTTTAAATTTGAGACGCAGCTCAAACATGGTTGGTTCCACTTGAAATGATATTCAGTGTCTCGAGATTTGAGCCGGCGATCATTGCAACTGTTTTTAGCAATTCAGCGACGCGTTTTAAACTTTTTATATTCGGCCTCATTTAAAATAGGCTTTACATCTGCAGAGATGTCGTCTTATATTTATATACATCTAACTTTAACTTAACAGTTTATAAATTCACAAACAAAGAATCATTTTATTTGGCTCGCACCTAAACTTTTTGTTTCAATTTCAAGAATTCATAATTGTTATCTGCTTTGTTTAATTAGAAACATAGAATAGAATACATAAGAAAGCTACTTTTATCACAAATGCCAAGAAGAAGACGACTTATCACAACCGTCTTCTGCACAACAGGTTAAACATGGTAACCGACGAAGGATCGGAAAAGTATTAATCTAAACCCTAACCAAGTATGAAATGCTATGGGTAGTGACGACACTTATTAAAGTCGTCTTCCCTTTCCAACTTCCAACTAAATAAAAATATGTTTGATAAAAACTTTCTTTAAATGTTTATGTATATCAAAGTTTAACTACGTATTTAAAGACGAATACTAGAGTTAATCTACAGGGTTACCCACAAAGCATGAGACTTCAGGAGACGATTGTACGGAATTTGTTTAATCCGTTTTCTTGCATTCAGGGTTTCTTATAGTCTAAAAACTGGCTTATTTTTGTGCCTAATCATTTAGTAAACCATTAAATTACTAATTTGAATACTGAAGTTAAAAACCAGGCTTCAAAAAGTCATATTGTTAGAGTTTTGGGTCGTCTTTACAGTCCTATCCTTTGTGGGTAATTCTGTATTTAAAGATGACTACTAGAGTTAAACTATTTAAAGATGAATACTAGAGTTGAACTATTGAAGATGAATACTGGAGTTAAACTATTTAGAGATATATACTAGAGTTAAACTATTTAAAGATGAATGCTAGAGTTAAACTATTTATAGATGAATACTAGAGTTAAACTATTTAAAGATGAATACTATAGTTAAACTTTTGAAGATGAATACTATAGATAATATAAGAAGTATTGTGCAAACAAATATCATGATCTAAGATTAGTTCAGCTCTAAAACCTTTGCACCTTAAATTCAATTATTAATTCAAGGATATAGTAAAGTAAGGATTACAGATCAATTCTCTCATCCATCTTACAGTTCAATTCTCTAATCCATCTTACAGATCAATTCTCTCATTCATCTTACAGATCAATTCTCTCATTAATCTTAAAGATCAATTCTCTCATTCATTTACAGATCAATTCTCTCATCCATCTTACAGTTCAATTCTCTCATTCATTTACAGATCAATTCTCTCATCCATCTTACAGATCAATTCTCTCATCAATCTTACAGTTCAATTCTCTCATCCATCTTACAGTTCAATTCTCTCATTCATCTTACAGATCAATTCTCTCATCCATCTTACAGTTCAATTCTCTCATCCATCTTAGAGTTCAATTCTCTCATCCATCTTACAGATCATTTCTCTCATTCATCTTACAGATCAATTCTCTCATTCATCTTACAGATCAATTCTCTCATTCATCTTACAGATCAATTCTCTCATTCATCTTACAGTTCGATTCTCTCATCCATCTTACAGACCAATTCTCTCATTCATCTTACAGATCAATTCTCTCATCCATCTTACAGATCAATTCTCTCAATCATCTTACAGTTCAAATCTCTCATCCATCTTACAGATCAATTCTCTCATTCATCTTACAGATCAATTCTCTCAGTCATCTTACAATTCAATTCTCTCATTCATCTTACAGATCAATTTTTTCTTTCATCTTCCAGATCAATTCTCTCATCCATCAAACAGATCAATTCTCTCATTCATATTACAGATCAATTCTCTCATCCATCTTACAGATCAAATCTCTCATTCATTTTACAGATCAATCTTCTCATTCATTTTACAGATCAGTCCTCACACGTATCTGACAGATCAATTCTCTCATTCATCTTACAGATCAATTCTCTCATTCATCTTACAGATCAATTCTCTCATTCATCTTACAGATCAATTCTCTCATTCATCTTACAGATCAATTCTCTCATTCATCTTACAGATCAATTCTCTCATTCATCTTACAGATCAATTCTCTCATTCATCTTACAGATCAATCCTCTCAACTATCTTATCCATTCTCTCATTTATTTTAAAGATTAATTCTCTCATATACCTTACAGATCAATCCTCTCATTCATCTTACAGATCAATCCTCTCATATATCTTACAGATCAATCCTCTCACCTATCTTACAGATCAATCCTCTCATACATCTTACAGATCAATCCTCTCATATATCTTACAGATCAATCCTCTCATTCATCTTACAGATCAATCCTCTCATATATCTTACAGATCAATCCTCTCACCTATCTTACAGATCAATTCTCTCATTCATCTTACAGATCAATCCTCTCATATATCTTACAGATCAATCCTCTCACCTATCTTACAGATCAATCCTCTCATTCATCTTACAGATCAATCCTCTCATATATCTTACAGATCAATCCTCTCATTCATCTTACAGATCAATCCTCTCATCCATAATCCTCTGTTTTTCTGTTGTTTCTTCTTTCCTTCTCCTTCCCATTACCCCTTATACGAACATTTTGTTTGAAATCATGAGCAGAACGTTAGAATATAAAAAATTGTCAACAGATCCCGTAACATTTTGTCAAGAATGTTTACCAATTTGGTAGTAATTTAGGAATGTAGTTTGTATTAAAAGGGTTCTCATTAAAAGAGTATCTTTGATAGTTTCATCTCCCCCCTCCTCCCTGCTCTCCCCTCATAACTTAACCTCACCTAGTTCTTATTTGTATATTTGTATATTGTTCACCACAAACAATCAAAATACTAAGTTATTCAGACTCCCAACTTCATATTGAGTATCTAAACCGTGCATACAACTGTCAGATGGTTTTCAAGCTTAAGATTCTAAAAAAAGGTGTGTTAGTCCCGACACAGATTAAATTGGTTTATATCATGACCTTTACGCACTCAAGTAAGTGGTTTAATTATAATCAATCAATTAAGAAGATGATATCTCAACAAAAGGTTCGAGAGAGGGGCATTGAAAACTGCGTAGTGTACAAATATGAAAACATTACTAGAATGACTTTGTGACCTCGTAGAGTGATAACCAGAAGTCACTGAAATTAAAAGACTATTTTTAGAACTTTATAACTTTAAAAACCTCAAGTAGCATGAGACACAGTAGTTTACAGCCCCATTTAACTTAATTAGTGATTTAATAAGTTATTAGAAAAAACTTTTTGCTTTGTATAACAACATTAAATACACTTCAGTATTGTTATAGTCTTCCTATTCCATTGTTTTATGGTTAATAATAATAATAATAATATTAATAATAATAATAATAATAACAATAATAAGTTTATTTTTCGGATTACAATATGTTTTTCTTAGATTATTCTAAAATTTTGAACACTGTATAGTGTAGCTCCTCTAGTTCTAATTCTATGCAGTAAATGCTAGAATTTATAAACATTTTTGTTCTTCTGAATAGCTGTTCATGAAGGAAATTTATGATTAAAATTTTACCAACAGGTTAAACAGAATAATTTGAAACTGATAGAGAAAGCAATGAATATCAGAGTGTGATTCAATGTGTTTTAGTATATTGCATAATTTGAAACTGATAGAGAAAGAAATGAATATCAGAGTGTGATTCAATGTTTATAAGTGTATTGCATAATTTGAAACTGATAGAGAAAGAAATGAATACCAGAGTGTGATTCAATGTTTATAAGTGTATTGAATAATTTGAAACTGATAGAGAAAGAAATGAATACCAGAGTGTGATTCAATGTTTATAAGTATATTGAATAATGTGAAACAGACAGAATCTGATCTTAAATCTGTAGAATCTAAAAATATTATAAAAAACTCATTGTTGTTTGACCAATTGTCAAGTTTTACAATAATGTCTTAGATATGACAAGGATTTTCATGGATCTGACAGTCCTGAGGTTTATAAATAATCTTATTATGTCTTTTTTTAATTACTTATTGTGACTGTAAGTGTGATTTCAAGGGATCATTCTTGGAAAGATGGCAAAGCTTTATTTACAACGGTATCCTTAAAATCAAGTATGAATTAGATATAAATGCTTTAGTTTCTTTGATATTTTTATGCACGTTTGCTAAAGTAACTTGCGTATTTCTTGCTAAATAGAAGCAATGGATAAATTATCAGAGTTAAACACTTTTTAGCCAGAAAAAAGAAGTTATCTTCCACATTTTTGATCAGATTTAGGTTTCAAGGGTAAAGTTGTATATCTGTGCATCTAGGTCCTCTTGAAATTACGCTTACAGTCCCTTTAAGAGAGAAAAGAGCTGGGTTCTATAAATCTATTTGCTGTTGTTACTACAACTTTCGGTTTCACTTCTGTCTGTCTGTTTGTTTGTAAATTGAATTCAATAAACGTCAAAACGGCTGAACCGATCGGGCCAAAATTGTATGTGAGACCTCACATGACCCCAGGAAAGGTTTATGGATGAACAAACTTTTAAAAATTTGCCTCCACCAAATTTGAAAATTCACGAATTTTTTTTTAAAAAATCTGCGAATGTTTTTTTGTTTTACAATGTCAAAAAAAATGTTCACAATTAAAATAGAAGATAAGTGCAAAGTGCCCTAAAAGCCTAGTGTATAGATAGAAAAAGATTGTCTGTAGACATGATCTCAATTCTGTAAAATCTAAAAATATTATCAAAAACTAATTGCTGTCTCATCAATTGTCAAGTTTTGCTATCATTGAAATCGATGATGTCTTAAAAATGGCAAAAATATGCAAAAATATCTTTTATCACATCTCTGTGTCCTGGCAGTCCAAACTTTAAAAATTCGGTGATGGTGATGGATCAAACCTCTGTAGAGTAAAAAAGTAGATGTTTGTTCCACATTTATTGAAAATATATTTCGGTCTGGGTTGACCCTCGTCAGTTCTAACGATATAATAACAATCAAAATGTATTCAAGGGTTTTACACATTTTTGTCTGCTTATTTATTGAAAAATTACATAAGAGAGCAAAAAATCGCTGTTACTTAAACTTCGGTTATCGCTAGTTTTTTATTTTAGTTTAGCATAAGTTTACTTTTTTGTTTTGTACTTGGTTATCAGGGCGCATCGCGCCCATCTTCTATTTAAACTTTTAATTGTTGCTTAATCATTTAGCAATTTCTCTTAAATAAAACAAAAATAAATTTTTCAGTTTTTACATTTNAAGGAAGGAAAGAAGGAAAGGAAGGAAGGAAGGAAGGAAGGAAGGAAGGAAGGAAGGATGGAAGGAAGGGTCTAACTGCAGCATAATGTGGTTTTTTCTTCCCCTACTATTCAATTATATAAGATTGATTGAATGCTCTCAGATCATCATGTGCAAACTATACGCAATACGCGCATCCTCTACATAAAATACGCTTACGCAAATGTCCTTGTAGGTTTTGTTTACTCTTGGTAAACGGTAAACTAAACATGATAAACGTCTGGTTAAATAAAGCATTTATTTTATATTATTGTGCTGGGACACATTCTTTACAGCCAATAGACCGAATAATTACAGGAGTTTTCCAACTTCATTCGTTCAACCATCTTTCTATCCATCCATAAAGACAATGAGTCAATGGGAAGAATTGTTTTCCGGGGATTATTTCTAGGAATTGTTCACACTCAGTCAAGACTTAATTCTCACAAAATACAATTACAGGGTTTAAAATTCATTATTATCACGGTTCATCATTGTATTGTCCAGGTTCAGATTCTCTCAGCTCAAGGGTGTCCTCGGAGAAAGGATGGTTAGAGGCAGAGATCTCTACATTTACTCTGACAGGTTTCATAAACCTGGAGATCCTGAACTGGGAGACAAAACTTTTGAACGCAGGAACCATGGCAACTTCTGTACGCTTTCCGTGTACTAGATTTAGACCCGGAGGCAAGTTTAGAATTGATCTTCAATGAAGGAGGATCGGAGATAAATTTAGGAGAAGGAATGTTTTTAATTGAGTTTGTAGAGGAAGGGTTTGAGAAAGAGTTAAAGGACGGAAGGTTGGATATTGTTGACTCTGTCTGTTTCGGTCTGCGGCTCAACTCCTCTTGAACTACGTCAACTAGTTCACGAAGGAAGGAAGGCTCATCCTGTAATCTCAGAGAACCAGGGTTGGAAGAGAAGGGAGGGGAGAAGGTGGAGGAGAGAGGAGTAGAAGGGGTAGAGGAGAAGGGAGGAGAAGAGGAGGTGAGTGAAGGCAGATTAAAGGGTAAGGTTGGACTAGGAAGAGTGGAAGTATCTTCTCTAGGTACAGCTGGAACTGGCATGAACTGATGGGAAATAAAATCTCTTGGTTGAGGTTTCCTCTGGAGTTGCGAAACCCGCTGTTTCTCCTCCTCCTCCTCCTCCCCTGGCACTGCGGCTAGGATACTGAACCTAGCAGGGTCTGGAGACCAGAGTTGAACCGGTGCACCAGGAAGGGGGGGAGACATCTCCTCAACCAGATCATCTAGAAATATTTTCATTTTGAATTATAAATGTTTTTTACATGCAGAGTGAACAATAGTTTGAACAAAATTTGGATTAATGAATCTCAGATTTATATAGTTTGCACACATCAATCACTATGTTCGGTTTAAGAAGTTATTTATTTTCGAAGAAATTATTTAATTTACAAAAGGGACATGTCAATTCACGATGGTGAATAACTGGTAAAATATCGTCAATTTTCTTCATTGTTTCTAAAGCAGAATTGCGCTTGTCACTTATTTAAAATAATCAGTTTTCCCAGAAACAGAAACAAAAGATGATGGATATTTCACGTATTCTTGATAAAGGATATCCGGTAGCGTTATAGTAAATAGGACATGTAACATTATAAATTGAAATGCACTTATAATTATGTCTTTAAACCCAAAAGATAATTATCTTATCGATTTCAAGTTACTGATTAATTATTGTTTTACCTCGTTTTAAATTCTGTGGTTATCTAAATAAATGTCAAGTAATTAAATAATTCCAACTTTGAAGATCGACATTTTATTTTTAAACATGTAAAACTTAAATATTTTTCAGCACGTTTTACTTTTTCGTCGATAACAAGCAAAGGTCGTTTAAAACCCCGTTTGCTCCAAGTACGTTAATTTAGAATCTTTCCAGCTTTTAAAAAATCGTTCTAAAAGCGCTTATTTCTTGTTTCAAACGAACGTTAACGGAAAATACTTTAATTGAAAAAAACCGATGGTTACACTTAACAACGCCCAGGGGCAAGTAAGATTAAAGTCACGTTTGTAATATGTACAGACATTAAATGCATAAAAAGGCTCCAAAATCACATTTTTTGGACACCCTCCACCAAATATATATGGCATGATATAATAAAAGTGGAAAATCAAGAAAATTGTTCAACCAAATAATAACATTTTTATCAACCAACAACAAAGAACATATATACGCAATACGCATAATTTTAATCTATTATAATTGAATTTTGTGTGGTTGGTATCATAAGGCATGAAATTAGTGAGTGCATGACAGGCATGTTGCACGGCACGCTGTAGAAATATTTATATTATTCTAAAATCTAATTTGTTTCAGATTTGATCGCACTTGATCGCACTGTTATAAATCCAGGGGGAGAAATAATTGCTTAACATTTCATGATGAAAGCAGATCCAAGATTTATAATATCAATTTACCCAGCAGTCAAAATGAGAAACCCCAAATTTGAAAATATTCATGACGGTGAATCAAAGTTACAATTAGAAGGTATTTTAACCTTTTATACCATTTTTAACCCGTGTTTTTACTTTTTACTTACAATATCATGATCTTGGGTATAAAATTCAAGTTTTTTAATCCGTCACTTAAACGGTAGAGATTTAAAAACATGAATTCGAACCTGAAAGTAAAAAGTAAAAATCCAGACAAAAACACATGAGACAGTTGCATAAATCGATATCTTACAAATCTTATACAAGCTGGGTAAAAATTGATTAAATTATTTTGTATCTTTTGCCTATGCATTATAAAATGTATTTTGTATTTGATAATCAAAATTTTCTAGATCTATTACATCCAAAGATATATATATTATCTTTGATTACATCATCAACATCATTAGCATAAATCATGATCAGGGGCGTAATAAAGTGCAGGGGGGGGGGCGGAAATGTCACAAAAGGTTGAGCCCCTCTCTGGAAAATTCCTTTCTTCGCCTCTGCATGTGACATATCAGATAATTTTCTAACAATCTTTATCTATATCTAGTATTCTATTCAATATTTACCTTCTTCTGGAAAAATAGCTTCAAAAACTCTCTTTGTTGGTGTTTCAGAGAAGATAGAAGACGAAGAAGAAAGAGAAAGAGAAGATGGAGGAGAAGAAGGAGAAGAAGGAGGAGAAGGAGTTGTTGGTCTTGACTCTGATTGTTGGAAATGATTAGGTGTAGGAAGAACAGGATGAGCAGGATGAGAAGGATTAGAAGGATGAGAAGGATGAGAAAGATGAGAAGGATTGGAAAGATCTGAATGAGTGAGAGTATCCGGATGAACTTCTATGTTTTTATCTCTAAAGGATTGGATAATAAGAGGAGAAGCTAGACGGTATCTCCGGTTGAGGATTGGTCCAGCTCCTACAGAACCTAGGCCTGCTCCTGGAGATCTTAGAGAAACTATAGGTAGTTCTGATACTCCGTCAGAAGGATGTACTCCGATCCTGAAGCTCTAATATTATTATTGTAATTATTACCCCTAGATTGGTCCCAAAACTGTGTAGATTTCTAGCATATTCCCAACCCAGGCACTGAGAGGAGGATGAGAGAAGAAGGATAAAGTTCCAACTCCACATCTCCGTATCCTACTAGGGGGGTTCCCACACACCTATATAACATCAGTCGTTCAATCATGAAATTATGATCAGAGATAAAGACTTCATGTGTGTTACTGTTTTAAATGCTATATGTATTTAGAATAATGAAATAATTCCTTCGAAAAAAAAATTAGTTGCAATCAATTATATGTTCAGTTCTTGTCTTAATAGACCCCTAACACCTCTACCCCCCCCCCCACCCGCTCTCCCCCAACTGCCACCCACACTGTTTCAGACGTTAGAGTGGCAGACAACAAAAAACTAATATGTATATCGAGACAGGTGCACGAGAACGGTTTCTTGAATTTCAACTGTCATAGATGTACAGTGAGAACCAGAAAACTCTGGAATAGGGGGAGGACTTTTAGACCCAAGTTATGACTTTAATGGACATGAGACACTACAATTTTGAATTGTAAAAAGGCCCAATTGACTTAATAAGTGATTCAAGTTACTAGTAACTAAACAACTATTTGCTTTGTAACAACTTCAACTATCCTTTAAGTATTGCTGTAATGTCGTCTACCTGTTCCATTGGTTTTTGGTTATTACTGTATATATTTCTCAAAACTGATTGTCAATAAATCAATATTGATACTAAAACCCATACATGTCTTTTTTGATGGAAGGGGGGGGGAATCTAAAAAGTTAAACACTTGACAATCTAAGGTCTCCTTCATTATTTAAGCTAACAAATTTTCTAAAATGGGGGATTGGGCTGTAGGGAAATATATTTTGTTTTCTGTAGATGCAAACAATTAAACAATATCTAGTTTATAGATGAAGACAATTAAAGAATATATTATTTGTAGATAAAGACAATTAAAGAATATCTAGTTTATAGATGAAGACAATTAATGAATATATTGTTTGTAGATGCAGACAATTAAAGAATATATTGTTTTTAGATGCAGACAAATAAGAATATATTGTTTGTAGATGAAGACAATTAAAGAATATCTAGTTTATAGATGAAGACAATTAAAGAATAAATTTTTTGTATATGAAGACAATTAAAAACATATTTTTTGTAGATAAAGACAATTAAAGAATATATTGTTTGTATATGAAGACAATTAAAGAATGTATTGTTTGTAGATGCAGACAATTAATGAATATATTGTTTGAAGATGCAGACAATTAAAGAGTATCTAGTTTATAGATGAAGACAATTAAAGAATATCTAGTTTATAGATGAAGACAATTAATTGAATATCTAGTTTATAGATGAAGACAATTAAAGAATATCTAGTTTATAGATGCAGACAATTAAAGAATATATTGTTTGTAGATGCAGACAATTAAAGAATATCTAGTTTGTAGATGCAGACAATTAAAGAATATCTAGTTTATAGATGAAGACAATTAAAGAATATATTGTTTATAGATGCAGACAATTATAGAATATATTGTTTGTAGATGCAGACAATTAAAGAACATCTAGTTTATAGATGAAGACAATTAAAGAATATATTGTTTGTATATGAAGACAATTAAAGAATATATTGTTTGTAGATGCAGACAATTAAAGAATATATTGTTTTTAGATGCAGACAATTAAAGAATATAGTGTTTGTAGATGCAGACAGTTAAAGAATATCTAGTTTATAGATGAAGACAATTAAAGAATATATTGTTTGTAGATGCAGACAATTAAAGAATATATTGTTTGTAGATGCAGACAATTAAAGAATATCTAGTTTATAGATGAAGACAATTAATTAATATATTGTTTGTATATGAAGACAATTATAGAATATATTGTTTGTAGATAAAGACAATTGAAGAATATATTGTTTGTAGATAAAGACAATTAAAGAATATATTGTTTGTAGATAAAGACAATTGAAAAATAACATAAAGTAATGATCAAAAGTAAAAAATTTTTGTTTTGTTTTCTCCGAATTTCTGGGAGTGTTTTTTGTTAATTTTTGTGTGATTTTTCTGTTTTCTAAATGAAATTGGCATGCGTCCAGCTTCATGGATAATACATGGGGGGGGGGATACAACCCCCACGTTTAAGAATCCGATGGTTTCTTCGGATTTTTCTCTAAAGAAGTGTTAAAATATCTTTACCCAATCTCATTATAATTTTAGAAAATCTAATTGAGTAATTATAGAAACGCGCGAATCATTTTTTAAAGATTTTTACAAATGGGTTATAGATAAAATTAGGTTTTAACATGGAAGAGTTGGAAGGGAGGGGGGGTTAAATCTTAATCCCATAAAGAATTGAAAATTGAGCAATTTTTTAATTTATGAAAGTTGTATCACACTCTTTCTTTGATTTTATGATACGTTTATAACAGAAACTATGGCTTGACGAATATCTTACGAATTACACTGCAACCAAGGGCAGTGGGTTATTCCCCCCCCCCCATAAAAACTTGTCCGAAACTGAAGTACTTAACTTTATCACGTAGTATTGTAATTGTTCGAAATTTTGCCCTGAAGTCCTTCAAGTTTAGATTTAAACAAATAAAAATAAAAATAATAATATTACAAAATAATGACAACCACCTTCTAGCTTTAGAATTTGTCTATGCTATTTATGAAACCTGGACATGATAACTTAATTTTTTTCAAAACTTTTTTTTAAAGAATCTGAGGTGAAAACTGTAGAATGGGATATCCTTAATCTCGATCGGTTAATTAATCTGGAGATTGATATCAAGAGGAGACCAAGCATTATTTAATCTCGAGATTAAGAAAAGAGAGGATCAAGCATTGATCTCTATATCCACCATTCAAAAGTTCCCAGCTCAGTTCAAGATTCATGCTGAAAGGGACTATAAGCGTAATTTCAAGTGACCCTTCATGCAAAGATGACAATGCCCGATTCACAACGAAACTCGACTTTAAAGCTTTGTACAATAAAGTATGAATTAGATACAAATTTGTTTTAAATCTTGAAAATTTATTATATTTAATTGTGGTTTCTCTTTAAAAATGACTTGCGCATTTTACTGCAGGAAAACATATTGGAAAATATGCTTACTTTTCTATATAAAGTATGCGCGTAAGCACACAAGACGCATGTGCGTTATAAACTGAGACGAATATGCGCGCTGTCTAGAGACCGTGTAGTGTGTGCGCGAGAAGAGGTTCTCCTGCGCTCATCTCATTTTATAATCCCTACTTATTGATAAAAAGAAAACTTTGATTGACAATTTAGAATTTTGATGTTTTTACATCAGAGATCCAGAAATAAAGGGGCCAAAGGATACAAATATCTAGGGATACAGATATCCAGAGTAACAGAGATCCAGGGATACAGATATCCAGGGCAACAGAGATCCTGGGATACAGATATCCAGGGTTACAGATATCCAGGGATACAGATATCCAGAGTAACAGAGATCCAGGGATACAGATATCTAGGGTTACAGATATCCAGGGATACAGAGATCCAGAGTAACAGAGATCCAGGGATACAGATATC